ATGGTGCAAAGGATAAAACTACACAGCAGACTTTCTCATAACAAGATGAATAAAATTCTACCATACTTATCAATACTCTCAATAAATGTCAATGGATTGAATTACCCACTGAAGAGGCACAGGCTAGCTCAATGGATCAAAAAGCACAAGACACACCTATCCTTGAAGGACAAAGAGGGGAGGCCAGGTGGTGGGAGGGTAATTGTGCAGAAAGGGTACATGTCAAATCTATTAAGATTAGAGTATAAATGTCTTAACACAACAAATAATTAAGTGAGGTGAAGGCTATGTTAACAAGTTTGATGTAAGCATTCCAAATTGTGTATAATATCATCATATTGTACCCCATAAATGCACTAATGTACACAGTTATGATTTAATAAAAAAAAGAGTCAGGCTTAAGGGATAGAAAACAATATTTTAAGCAAATGGAAATCAGAAGAAAGGAGGGGTTGCAATATTATTCTCAGATATAAGTAGATTCAAAGCAACTGTAGTTAAGAAAGACAAAGATGGACACGTCATACTGGTCAAAGGAATAATATGACAAGAAGACATTTCAATTTAAATATTTATGTACCTAACATAATTTCTCCCAGATTTATGAAATAAACCTTTAGAGGTCTGAGCAAGATGATATCCCATAATACCACAATAACCAGGATTTTGATGCCCCTCTGATGGAACTGGACAGATCCTCTAAACAGAAACTAAACAAAGATACAAAGGGCTTAAACATGACTCTAGAACAAATGGGATTAATAGACATATACAGAACGCACCATCCCAAAATAAAAGAATATACATTTTTCTCATCAGCCCGTGGCACATACTCTAAGACTTTTATTTATTTACTTTTTGTTGTTGTTGTTGCAATTTGGCTGGGGCTGGGTTTGAACCCACCACCCTCAGTATATGGGGCTGGCACCCTACTCACTAAGCCACAGGCACCACTGGCACATACTCTAAAATAGATCACATTCTAGGATACAAATCAAACCTCAGCAAAGTTAAAGGAATAGAAATTTTACCTTTCTCAGACCACAAGGCAATAAAGGTGGAACTTAACTCCAACAAAAAATTGTTCATCCCAACACTTATGCTGAAAGATAGTTAGGTTCAGGAAGAGATAAAAAAGGATATTGTTAAATTCCTTCAAGATAACAACAATGAAGACACAAGTTACCTAAACCTGTGGGATACAGCAAAAGCAGTCCCGAGAGGAAAAATTACTGCACTAGATGCTTACATTTGAAAAACAGAAAGATAACTCATCAATAAACTCACAAACCATCTTGTGGAATTGGAAAAAGAAGAATAATCTAATCCTAAACCCAGGCAAAGAAAGGAAATAACCAAAATTTAATCAGAGATTAATGAAATTGAAAACAAATCATTCAGAAAATTAACAAAACGAAAGGTTTGTTCTTAGAAAAAATAAATAAAATAGATAAACATTTGGCCAGACTAACTAGATACAGAAAAGTAAAATCTCTATTAACCTCAATCAGAAACAATAAAGGGGAAATAATAACAGATGCCACAGAAATGCCAGAGATCATCTCTGAATACTACAAGAAACTCAATGACCAGAAACTTGACAATGTGGAGGAAATGGATCAATACTTGGAATCACACCATCTCCCTAGACATAACCAAGAAAAAACAGATCTCTTGAAAAGACCAATTTCAACCATTGATATCAAAGAAACAATAAAAAATCTCCCAACCAAAAAATGCCCTAGTCCAGGTGGCTTCACACCAGAATTCTACAAAACCATCAATGAAGAGCTTATACCCATACTGCAGAAACTATTCCAAAAAATTGAGAAGGAAGGAATCTTCCCCAACACATTCTATGAAGCAAACATCACCTTGATACCAAAACCAGGAAAAGACCCAACTAAAAAGGAGTACTTCAGACCAATTTCACTAAGGAATATAGATACAAAAATTTTCAATAAAATCGTAGCCAATAGATTACAGCTTCTCATTAAAAAAGTCATACATCATGATCAAGTAGGTTTCATCCCAGGGATGCAAGGCTGGTTTAATATACACAAGTCCATAAGTGTAATTCACCATATCAACAGAAACAAAAATAAAGGCCATATGATTCTCCCAAAAGATGCAGAAAAAGCATTTGGTAAAATTCAGCATCCTTTTCTAATTAGAACTCTGAAGAATATAGGCATAGGTGGCACATTTCTTAAACTGATCAAAGCCATGTATGACAAACTCACAACTAGTATTATACTGAATAGAGTAAAACTGAAAGCTTTACTCTAACAACCAGACAAGGTTGTTCTTTATCACCACTACTATTTAACATAGTGCTGGAAGTTGTAGCTAACACAATCAGGCAAGAGAAGGTTATAAAGGGCATCCAAATGGGGGCAGAGGAAGTCAAACTCTCCCTCTTTGCCTATGATATGATCTATACTTAGAGAACCTCAAAGAGTCAACCTGAAGACTCTTGGAAGTGATCAAAAAATACAGTAATGTCTCAGGATATAAAATCAGTGTTCACACATCAGTAGCCTTTGTATATGCCAATAACAGCCAAGATGAGAAGCTAATCAAGGACACAATTCCCTTCACAGTAGCTTCAAAGAAAATGAAATATGTAAGAATATATTTAACAAAAGAGGTAAAGGACCTCTATAAAGAAAATTATGAATCCCCAAGGAAAAAAATAGCAGAAGATATTAACAAATGGAAGGACATACCATGCTCATGGCTGGGAAGAATCAACATTGTTAAAATGTCTACACTTACCAAAGCAATCTACAGATTCAATACAATTCCCATTAAAATACCAACATCATACTTTCAAGATTTGGAAAAAATAATTCTTCATTTTGTATAGAACCAGAAACAATCCCATATAGCTAAGGCAATTCTTTTTTTTTTTTTTTTGAGACGGAGCCTCAAGCTATCCCCCTGGGTAGAGTGCCGTGGCATCACGCTCATAGCAACCTCCAACTCCTGGGCTCAAGCGAGTCTCCTGCCTCAGCCTCCCAAGTAGCTGGGACTACAGGCGCCCGCCACAATGCCTGGCCATTTTTTGGTTGCAGCCATCATTGTTGTTTGGTGGGCCCGGGCTGGGGATGAACCCACCACCTTAGGTGTATGTGGCTGGCGCCTTAGCTGCTTGAGCCACAGGCGCCAAGCCTAAGGCAATTCTTAGTAATAAAAACAAAGCCAAGGACACCAACCTAATAAACTTTAGGCTGTACTACAAGGCCATAGTGATAAAAACATCATGGTACTGGCACAAAAATAGAGACATAGATATCTGGAATCAAATAGAAAACCACAAGATGAAACTAACATCTTATAGCCACATAATCTTTGATAAACCAAACAAAAATATACACTGGGGGAAAGAATCCCTATTCAATAAAAGGTGCTGGGGGAACTGGATAACCACATGTAAAAGACTGAAACTGGACCCACACCTTTCTCCACTCACTAAAATTGATTCAGGATGGATAAAAGATCTAAATTGAAGGCATGAAACAATAAAAACCTTCAAAGAAAGTGTGGGGAAAACACTTGAAGATAATGGCCTGAGGAAGAGTTTGTGAAGAAGATGTTGGTGGCAATTGCAACAACAACAAAAATAAACAAATGGGACTTAATTAAATGGAATAGCTTCTGTACAGCTAAGGAGACAACAACCAAAGCAAATAGACAACCATCAGAATGGGAAAAGATATTTGCATATTATGAATTGGACAAAAGCTTGACTAGGATCTACAGAGAACTTGAGTTAATCAACAAAAAAAGAGCCACCAATAACTTATATGAATGGGCAAGACAGATGAATAGAACATTATCTAAAGAAGGCAGATGAATGGCTAACAAATGAGAAAAAATGCTCATCATCTCTAATTATCAGAGAAATGCAAATCAAAACTACCCTGAGATATCACCTCACCCCAGTGAGAATGGCCCACATAATAAAATCTCAAAATGTGAGATGCTGGCATGGAAGTAGAGAGAAGGGAACACTTCTACATTGCTGGTGGGACTTCCAACCAATATAACCTTTTTGGAAGGAAGTATGGAGAATCCTAAAAGTACTGAAACTGGACCTCCCATTTGCTCCTGCAATCCCATTACGGGGCATCTACCAGAAGAAAAATAATTATTTTATCATAAAGACATTTGCACTAGACTGTTTATCCAGTTCAATTTACAATCACCAAATTGTAGAAACAACCTAAATTCTCACGAATCCAGGAATGGATTAACAAGCTGTGATATATGTATACCATGGAATACCATTCAGCCGCTAAAAAAGATGATGACTTTACATCTTTTGTATTAACCTGGATAGAGGTGGAATGCATTCTTCTTAGTAAAATGTCACAAGAATGGAGAAACAAGAATCCAGTGTACTCAATCCTGATACGAGGTCAATTGATGACCTAGTACATATTGGAGGGTGGGGGAACGGAGGAGTGGAGAGAGGGAAGAAGGGCGGGGGTTGGGGGTTCACAGTGTGTGACACACCTCTTGGGGGTGGTACATAGTTATAAGAGGAACTTTACCTAGCAAATGCAATCAGTGTAACCTGGTTCTTTGTACCCTCAATGAATCCCCAACAACAACAACAACAAAATCATAATACTACTAAAAGTAAAATACATATCAAAACTATATTGTTTGTTTCTATGTTTCTTTACTGGTTTATTGTCTCTCTTGTCTAGATCGAAAGTTCCTTGAAGGACGGAACTTATCCATCTTTTTCATCCAAGGCTTGGTGCTCTGTGGGAGCTAAAGGGCAGGGGCTGCGATCATTGTTTCTTCTACACCCGAATCCAAACTAGGGAGAATGGCATTGTGTGTGTGTGTGTGTGTGTGTGTGTGTGTGTGGTGTGGGGGCTTCCCCTCAAGGTAGATTTGCATGTACTTGACTTTTAAAGGAAGAGAGAATTGAGAGAGGCCCAGACACTTGTGTAGGAAGGAGAAGAGGCGGAAGCGGCCAAGCCCTCACTGACACTCATCAGGCTTCTTGTGTTCCTTTCTTCTGTGTACAGCATGTATACTAACTCTGCGTGCCCGGACCCTCTAGGTAAGGCCCTGTCCAGGCTCAGACTGGGGACTGGCTGTAGTTAGGAAACAGGTTGCTGTGTCTCCATCTTGAGCCAGGGCCAGAGTGAGGAATGGACTGGGCTCTGACCATGGCTTTCCTCTGAAAGGGTACATGGAAGAGGATGATGCTGATGACTATGAGAACACGGCCCCACCCTACAAGGACCTTCCACCCAAGCCAGGTAAGAGGACTTCCTGGAGACCAGGTGTGCCCTAGAGGAATAGAGGGAGTTCAGTTGCCAGGGGGCATTAGCTGCCATTGTAGACACACGATCAGTGTCCAGTGTCCTGTGCACCCAGTCCCTGCCAGGCACCAGCATGGCAGGTGCTTAAAAAAACCTAGATTCTGGCTGGGCACCCGTAGCTCAGTGACTGGGGTGCTGGCCACATTTTCTGGGGCTGGTGAGTTCAATCTCGGCCTGGGCCTGCTAAACAAAAAACAAAACAAAACAAAAAAATAGCTGGCATTGTGGTGGGTGCCTGTAGTCCCAGGTATTAGGTGGGCTGAGGCAAGAGAATCGCTGAAGCCCAACAGTTTGAAGTTTCTGTGAGCTGCGATGCCACTGCACTCTGCTGAGGGTGACAGAGTGAGACTCTGTCTCAATAAAAAAAAAAGAAAGAAAGAAAGAAAAAGAAACCTAGACCCTGCCTGTGACAATATGCCAGTGTAATGGGGGAGGCAGTTTGGGGCACAGCTTTGGGTGAGAGGAGAGGAAACAAGAGATTGGGGAAATCCCATGGAGGATTGAGGCCTCTGCCTGCAATGGTGGGGATAAGAAGAGGGGACTACAGAGTAGAACTTGAGGGACAAGAAGACATTTGCTAGGAAGACAGACCCAGGACGCTGGGTCCAAAGTCTCTGCAACATGAAAGCTGGTGCTTAGAGAACTACGAGTGGGGTGGTGCTGGTAGCTCAGTGGGTAGTGCGCCGGCCACAAACATCCAGGCTGGTGAGTCTGAACCCGGCATGGGCCAGCTAAACAACAATGACAACTGCAACAAAAAAATAGCCAGGCATTTTGGTGGGTGCCTGTAGTCCCAGCTACTCAGGAGGCTGAGGCAAGAGAATCGCTTAAGCCCAAGAGTTTGAGGTTGCTGTGAGCTGTGATGCCACCTCCGAGGGCAACATAGTGAGACTCTGTCTCAAAAGAAAAAAAAAATAAGAAAACTATGAGTGGATGTTTGGCTTCCCAATTTCTTTTCATTTATACCCAAGGCCTGGGTTTTATTTAGACTTGTGTGGCCTAGCTTCAACAAGAATATGACACGTAGATATAAAAGTGGCGGTTTGAGAGGTTTTTTTTTTTTTTTTTTTGAGACAGAGCCTCAAGCTGTCCCCCTGGGTAGAGTGCCGTGGCATTACAGCTCACAGCAATCTCCAACTCCTGGGCTCAAGTGAGTCTCCTGCCTCCGCCTCCCAAGTAGCTGGGACCACAGGTGCCCGCCACAACGCCCGGCTATTTTTTGGTTGCAGCCGTCATTGTTGTTTGGCGGTCCGGGCTGGGGATTCGAATCCGCCACCTTAGGTGTACGTGGCTGGCGCCTTAGCCGGTTGAGCTATAGGCGCCGAGCCAGGTTTGAGAGGTTTTCCTGAGTGACCTCCCATGGGGGACCCTGAGGCCATGAGGGATCCTTGTGGACTGGGCTGACAGGTGTGAACACCATGTATACTAACTCTGCATGCCCACACCCACCAGGCAAGGCCCTGACCAGGCTCAGGTTGGGGGCAGGCTGTGGTCAGGAAGTAGCTTGCAGCATCACCACCTTGGAGCAGCTGGGGCAGGGCCCAGGGCCTGAGAGATAGAGGAAGATAGATGGACTGGGCTTTGACTGACCATGCTTTTCCTTTGGAAGGGTCCATGGGTGAGGATGATGATGATGACTATGAGAACACAGCCCCACCCTACAAGGACCTTCCACCCAAGCCAGGTAAGAGGACTTCCTCAAGGCCAGGTGTGCCCTGGAGGAATAGAGGGAATTGAGTTGCCAGGGGGCATTAGCTGGGCATTGTAGACAGAGACCATTCCATGAGGGCTGGGGTTCTCCATCTCCTATCCCTGAGTCAAGAGTGGGGCCACCCTGGGAGGACGGTGGTCCAGGGATACCATGAGGTTTTGCATGAGATAGGAGGTGAACTGGGCTGTGCCCTAACTGCTCCATCTCCAACTCCAGCATGACCCTAATGTGATCCTCAAACCCAACTCTAAGAGCAGCTCAATTCTCATTTTCAGGGCCACCCTGTCCCCAATCACAGCTCCCTCCCATCTCCACATGCAGCCCCTTCTGGGTTCCCAAATCCAACTTCATCTCCATACCCCAACTACAACCCAACCTGAACTTCTTTCTCATTTCTAAACCCAGCAACAACTCCATTCTTTGCCCTAACTACACCCCAAATCATAACCCTCCTCCCACATCCAGGGTCTTGCTCTGTCATCCAGGCTGGAGTGGGTGGTACAATCATAGCTTACTGTGGCTTCAAATTCTTGGGCTCAAGTGATCCTCCTGCCTTAGTCCCCTGAATAGTGGGACTATAAGCACACGCCCCCATACACTGGCTAATTTTTCTGGTTTTTTTTTTTTTTTGTAGAGATAGGGTCTCTATGTTGTCCAGGCTGGTCTGGAGCTCCTGGTCTCAAGTGATCCTCCCTCCTTGGCTTCTCCAAATGCTGGGGTTATAGGCATGAGCCACCTTGCCTGGCCCAACCCCATCTCTAACTCCATCCAACCTTTCACTGCAATCCTAACTCTGTTTCCATCACTTCCTTCAATCTCATTCCCGTCTTCAGACCTACCCTAACTTGAAGCTTCTCTTCTCCAGGTTTGATTGCTCCGCCACGGCCCCCAAGGGCAGGTGAGTTGTGGCTGGGGGGTGGAGGGGCTGGAGACCCAGTGCTGGGTTTGCCCTGTTCTGGATCTGAGTACCTATTCCTCCCTTCCTCAGAAAAGAAATCAGAGAACCCTCCACTTCCTTGCAAGCCCCCAAAGAAAATAGGTGAGAGTCTATTGCTGGGATCTTTTCTGCTTACCTGGCTGAAGCCCTACTCAGAATGACTGATGCCTTTCTGATTCCTTCCAGGCCTGGACCTCACCCCTGTCCCCTGTGTACCTCCTCAACTGGGTGAGCAGTGGGAAGACCCTTCAAGAAGCCAAAGAGGGGCATTTGGAAGTTTCCTCCCTGCTGCCTAATTCTGAGCAGAGAATAAAGCAGAGCTTGTTCATCTTGGAAGACAGAATCTTTGCACATCTTCTGAATAAACCTCTCTCTTCCTTTCTCCCAGGCATTGATCTGGAGCCTCCTCCATTTCAGCCATCCCTAGCTGGTAAGTCCTCATCCCCTTTAGGATTCCTGATGGCCCCTCTGACAGTGGCCAGTGTATTTGATTTAGACCTCCAGCTCTAGAGTGAAAATTGAGTCAGCGTAAATTCTTTAGGAAGCTGAATTTGGAGGCTGAGGCAGGAGAGTTACTTGAGGCCAGGAGTCCAAGACCCCATGGCAATGTAGGAAGATCCCATCTCTACAATAAATAAAGCAAAAAATAAAATTAGCTGGGTGCCTATAGTCCCAGCTACTCTGGAAGTTGAGGTAGGAGGATCTCTTGAGCCCAGGAGTTCAAGGATGTAGTGAGCTATCACAATGCTATGCACTCTAGCCTGCGAAACAGAGTGACATCCTGTCTCTAAAAAACCAAACGGAAAAAACAAGAAGCAGCTTCTCCCAGTGACAAGGCCAGATCCCCCCAGGGACCCAGGGTGCCTGCTGGGTAATTGACAGTCTCCACCTCTTGCTTGCATAAGATGTGGGAAATGTTCTTTGCCCCACAAGCAAGGGTTCACAGGCTTCCTTGAATGGGGAGCAGCTTGGTCAGAGAAGATAATGCATCATGGATATTAAGCACAGATCTGGGTCCAAGTCATTTGTTACTTCACCAAGCCTCAGTCTACTTACTTGTCAAATGGGAATAACTCTGGCTTGGCATGGTGGCTCATGCCTTCAGTCCCATCACTTTGGGATGCCAAGGGGAAGGACCACTTGAGACCAGAAGTTTAAGACCAGCCTGGGCAACATAGCAAGACCCTGTCTCTAAAAACAAAATCAGAATAATTCTTATATCTACATCATAATGATGAAGATCTGATAAGAAAGTTGTAATGTGATGCTTACTTAGTATACAGTAAATGCTCCATGAATACTCTGGGCCTCTCAAGAACATTCAATCTCCCCATCACACTCTTGCTGACCATCTGGCAGAACGGTCATGACTATAGACCTCTGGCTCCTGCTCTTGGAGACAGGCTTAAGGATTCCTTCTTACTTTCTGAAGCACTAGTGTCTATGTCTCTGTCTCCGCTCACATTCTCTAGCAACTCCAGTGCCTTGGCTCAGTCAGAAGTCTGGAAGTCCTGGGTGCTGCCAGGAGGAGAGACTAATGGTGTACCTGTGTGTGCTGGTGGTGGTATCACTGCTCCTGGGCTGCATCAGTCTGACTGTGACACTGATTAAGTGTGAGTAGGGCCAGGATGGGGCAAGGAGAGAGGCTGTGTGGGGATGGGACATGGTAGGCCCTAGACTCAACCTATACTCCTCCTCATAGACCAGGAGGTGATGGAAGAACTGAGGATGTTAACCTTTCAACAGATGGTGTGGCAAGCAAATGGTGAGTGCTTTCAATCATTACTTCATGCCATGAATATTTTGTCACCTGGGCTAGAGTGAAATGGTGTCCTCACAGCTCACTGCAACCTCAAATTCCTGGGCTCAAGTAATCAGTCTCCCGAGTAGCTGGGACTACAGGCATGCGCCACCACGCCTGGCTAATGTTTCTCAACTTAGGGTCTGGCTAAGTTGCACAGGCTGGTCTTGAACTCCTGGCCTCAAGCAATCCTTCTACCTCAGTTTCCCAAAGTTCTAGGATTACAAGCATGAGCTACTGTGCCCAATCCTTAAACCCAAATCTAGGACCAGCTTTATTCTTTGCCAGCCATTGTGCTAGGAACCATGAGGCGGGTAGAATGGTGAACATAGCAGACGCAGTCCCTGTCACTGTGGAGTATTGTGTGTGCCTGTGTGTGTGTGTCCAGACTTTACTGTCCAATATGGTAGTCACAAGCTACATGTAGCTGTTGAGTACTTGAAATGTGGTTGGTCCCAAATGAGATGTACCTTGAATTATAAAATATACACCAATGTAAAACATTTGCTTCAAGAAAAGAATGCATTGTAAAATATCCAGCTAATAATTTTAAAACATTGATTATACACCGAAACATAATATTATGGGTATATAGAGATAAATAAAAATTATTCAAATCAATTTTACCTGTTTTTCTTTTGGCTTTTAAAAAGTCAGTTATTAGCAAATGTAAAATTATGTAACTGGTTCACATTTTATTTCTCATGGACAGCACAGGCATAGACAACCATTAATCAGATTATTACTCAAATGAATATAAAATTCCAAATTCTGATGAGCAATTCAAAGGAAGAGAGATGCAGTTCTATGAAAATGTCTAACAAGAAATCTTTGAAAAAAATTTCAATGGATTTAGGGGGTATAAGTTGAATTCTATTACATGTGTGTATTATATAGCAGTGAAGGCTGGGCTTCTAAGGTACTCATCACCTGAATGGTGTATGTTATACCCATAGGCAATTTTCATCCCTCTCTATGCCCTCCCTCCCCTCCTTTAAGTCTTCAGTGTACCTCTCTAAGTGTCCTTAACAAGGAATCTGGATTGTATCTTTGAGGGGGGGGTCATATAAGGCTTCCTTAGGGCAATGGTGATATTACGGAGTAAAGGAAGAGAAAAGAAGGAATTAACCAGGTGAGGGATTGAGAGGACCAGGGATGTGCATGTGCATGATGTGCCCTGTGGTAGGAGGCCACGTCATAAATACAAGGGAGGAAGATGGTGTAGTTGGGCAGCTGAGAGAGGATGATGGTTTGGATGAGGGCTGTAGACATGGGGATGGAGCGCAGTGGTGGAGCCGAAAAGTTTTGAAGGTAAAATTGCCGGAGCTAAGGATGGATGGGGAATGTCATTGAGCAAGAGGGAGGAATGTCAAAGGTAACGTATCTATATCCGTATGTCTTAAAGTTCTATTTTGTTCAACTGAAAGGCCATTTACTGAACTAGTGAGCATTGGAAGAGGGCAAAGACCGTGGAGGAAAAGCGAGAATACACACATAAGTTGTAGGAGAATCTTCTGGGCTGGGTGACCTTTCCAGGACTGAGGAAGTCTGAGAATTGCTCCCTCCCACACTGCCTCACTCCGTGCCTCACATCAAGCCATTCTGCTCAAGGATTCAGCCTGTTTCATCCTTCTCTTCACTCCTCAGCCCCCAGCTTTTCCACTTCTCATATTTACCAATAATAATAAATCACACTTAATTATAAAGTATAATCTATTTGCATCATTAAACCTATGCCATTTTAGTTAAATATGAGGGATGTAGTACCTTGATTTCATTTTTTTATTCCAACATTTTTGCCGTGTTATAGTATAATTCTGTCTTTCTTTTTTTTTTTTTTTTTTTTTTTGAGACGGAGCCTCAAGCTATCCCCCTGGGTAGAGTGCCGTGGCGTCACAGCTCACAGCAACCTCCAACTCCTGGGCTCAAGCGAGTCTCCTGCCTCAGCCTCCCAAGTAGCTGGGACCACAGGTGCCCGCCACAATGCTTGGCTATTTTTCGGTTGCAGCCATCATTGTTGTTTGGCGGGCCCAGGCTGGGGATTCGAACCTGCCACCTTAGGTGTATGTGGCTGGCGCCTTAGCCGCTTGAGCCACAGGCGCCGAGCCTAATTCTGTCTTTCTTATAGTCCCTTTCTATTTGCTTTACTCTCAAAGTATGTGTAAAACTCTATTGTCGAAAACTCACTTGTGTAAGCCTTCTTGCAATGTAGTCAAAACACTTCAGCAAAACACTTTAGTTAATATATCATTTTTATTTCAACGCTGTGGCCCTGCTTCACTGATATTTTTGTTCTCCTGTTCCATACTCTGTGTACTGAATTATAAGGCAGCTGCAGAACATCTTTGTTTATTTTTGAACTTCGTTTTAGGAATTCCCTTCAACATTTTCTTTTCCTTTTTTTTTTTCTTGTGAGACAGATCTCACTCTGTTGCCCAGGCTATAGTGCAGTGGCGTCATCATGGCTCATAGCAACCTCAAACTCCTGGGCTTGGGCAATTGCCTCAGCCTCTCAAGTAACTGAGACTACAGGTATCTGCCATTGTGCTGGGATAATTTTTCTATTTTTAGTAGAGATGGGGTCTCACTATTGCTCAGGCTGGTCTAGAACTCTTGAGCTCAAGTGATCTTTGCACCTTGGCTCCCCAGAGGGTTAGATTACAGGTGTGAGCCGCTGCACCCAGCCAACATGTTCTTTTGTTGATTCTTATATTTTCTTTATTTCATGTCTTTGTTTCCTTGATTTATTCCCACATTTTTGTTGAACATATATTTTAATTGGCCACATACAAAGGGAACCTAGATGTATATTCTTCTTCTTATTTTTTGAGACAGAGTCTCACTATGTTGCCCTGGTAGAGTGCTGTAGCATCATAGCTCACAGCAACCTCAAACTCTTGGGTTTCAGGGATTCTCTTGCCTCAGCCTCCCCAGTCTCTGGGACTATAGGTGCCCGCCACAATGCCTGGCTATTTTTTGTTGCAGTTGTTATTGTCGTTTAGCAGGCTCAGGCCGGGTTCAAACCTTCCAGCCTCAGTGCATGTGGCCAGCTCCGTAACCACTGTGCTACTGACGCTGAGCCTACTTTGAAGTCCTTTATATACAAACATATCTTTACCTTCACACATCATTACTAGTATCTCTCATGTGAATACACTCATATGTGTTAAATCATCTGCTTAAAACTCACTGATGGCTTTTCATTGCACAGAGCCCAGTGTGAAACCTTCAGCATGGCATCCCAGAATCCAGACATCAGACCTCATCCTACTTCGCACTCCGGCTCCTCTGAGATTCCCTCTTCCCCTACCCTACAGCCTCCCCCAACACACTTGCCTCTGCATCTTTGCTCTGAAGATGCCCTGCCTCCTGTGCCTTCCCTCTCTCCCAGGTTACTGATCACCCTCTTCCTTCAAAAACCATCTCCTTCAGGATGTCCACCATATCCCCTCTTCCCCAAATCCAGGGATTGAACCTTCTCTGAGCCACTTTAGGACTCCTGGGCACTCCACATGTGGTTTTTGAAGTCCAACCTGACTTAGTAGATGTGGCTGTAGTGGGGAGCATGACTCTGCTTTTCTCTGGTGTGTCTGTGGTCCGTGGTGGGTAGGTGGGCAGGTGGGTGGGCATACGGGGTTTTGGGTCTCTAACCCTTAAACTCATCCTTTCTGATAGTGACTGGCATGGCAGGACTAGCTGGTCTGAAGAAGGACATTGATCGTGTCAGAGCAGGCACCAACCAGTCCCTGGTGGAACTTCGGGGCTTATTAGGTGAGTGGGACTTATTAGAACTACCCAGAGTTGGGGGACACGGTAGTGCTGGGACATTACATAACTCTGTGGAAATGATCCTCAGTGCAGTCTATGTGAACGATGCCATTTGGAGTTGAGCAGTGCGTAGCCTGCTCCAATGTGTGTGGCATACATGTACATGCCTCTGGCTCTTAAGCCATCCTGATAGCATCCCATCTGTTACCCAGAATGTACCAGAGTCACCTGTCCTGAAGGCTGGGTCCCTTTCGAAGGCAAGTGTTACTACTTCTCCCCAAGCACCAAGTCATGGGATGAAGCCCGGAAGTTCTGCCAGGAGAATTACTCTCACTTGGTCATTATCAGTAACTTTGCTGAGCAGGTGAGTTGTCTCCACTAAGTCTTTGAGAACCAGCAGGGCCAGCCTGCCTCTCTTCTAGTATTTAAACAGCCTTCCCTTTACTTTAGAGCTATTAAAGCTTTGCAAGCGCTTGCTGAGATAGTATTATGCAGAAGTTAAGAGGCTATGCTTTGAGTCCAAATCCTGATTTTGTTTATTTAACTTTTACAAATCTAGCCTTTATGTCTAATATTGAGATTTTAATAGTGGCTGTCTCTTAGCTGGCACTTTCTATTTTTTAGACTTTGTTACAAATACCTTACATCTTACATGCACTAACATACATAATTCTCACAAGAACCCTATAAATTAGTGTATAGCCAAGAAGTTATTTTATGCTTCAGTAACAGTCTTCATAGCTCAATGATGAATGTGTATGAGGCAAATCAGATGCTGGTCCTCAAAGCTTCCACTTAGTTCCACTCACAAAACAAGTCACACGGACACTTCTATCCTTTAAGATGGTGGAAAAATAAGGTCCCACCTGTGCATCCAGGTAGAACTGGCATATTTGTGAATAATTTCAATGACTTAATACTATTACCATTAAGTCTATTATCATTTGTATACAGTACATATAATTTGTACTTCACAGGTGAGGAAACTGAGGCACAGTGCATTTAAGCAATTTGCCTGTGGTCACTCACAAGTATGCATCAGAGCTGGGAGCTGAGCCCAGGTAGCCGGCTTCGCAGTCTGTGGTCATGACCGTGAACATGATAGCACTATATGATTATTGTTTGCAAGGTTCTCTCACCTTCAACCAATTTATGTCATTATATTTAAAATGGGACTCTTGTATAAGTACATAGTGGGGTCTTGGATTTTAAAAATATGACCTGACAATTGCTAGCTTTTATTTAGGCATTTACATTTAATATACTTATTGATTTGGTTGGATTTAGGTCTATTATCTTCTTCTTATTTTCTCCTGCATGCCTTCCTTGTTTTTTATCCCTGTTTCATAATTTCATATTTATAAGTAGCTGTCTAGAGCATTTTGAAAGGATTCTATTAGATAATGAAAATGGGGAAGGTATAAATCATATTCCCTAAACTCAGGTTGACAAGAAACATGACTCTGTTTTTTTTGTTTTTTTTTGAGACAGAGTCTCGCTCAGTCGCCCTGGGGTTGAGTGCCGTGGCATCATAGCTTTCAGCAACCTCAAACTCCTGGGCTCCTGATTCTCTTGCCTCAGCCTCCCTAGTAGCTGGGACTATATGCACTCACTATAACACCAGCCTATTTTTAGAGCTAGGGTCTCTCTCTGGCTCAGAGAGGTGTCAAACTCCTGAGCTCAAGCAATCTGCTGGCCTCAACCTCCTAGAGTGCTAGGATTACAGACATGAGCCACCATGCCTGGCCTGACGATTTCTTTTTCAAATTACTCATTTTGGTTTCTGGCTTGAGTTCCCATTATGCCTGGATGGTGGGCATTTAATCTCAGTCTGTTGGGTTCCCCCATTTTTCTTCTGAGTGGGGACAGCTTGTATGGAGTTAAGGTGGAGGAGAGTACATGTCTAGTCCTTGATGTTTTTATTCCAGACTGGTATACACTGAGATATCCATGGACTGGATGATTCTAGACAAGTTATTTAACCTCTCTGTGGCTTGATTTTCTCATTTACAAAATGGGTATAATGATAATATTTGCTTCAGTGGGTCATCATGTGGATCCAATGAGATAATCTGTTCAAAGTGCATAGCTTGCTTCTTTTTTCTTTTTTTTACAGTTTTTGGCTGGGATCAGGTTTGAACCCACCACCTCTGGTATGGGGCTGGCACCCTACTCCTGTGAGCCACAGGGGATGCCTGCATAGCTTGCTTATTAATTTGTTAATTCAACCAACGTTTCCTGAGAATTTACTATGTGCTGGGTACTAATTTACATCCAGTGATGGTCAAGACAGATGAGTTTCTTAAGATGAAACTTCTAGACACTTCGGTGTCTAGAAATAGCAAGGACTCTCTATGTGTTAGATATTCTTCTGGTTTTCTGGCACTCAGTGGGCCAGAAGGCCTCAGGGCTGCCCCTGAGGTGTCCCACTTGGGTCTGGAGGCCTCTTTCCCTCTTCCTTGATGTTCTTGGGTGCAAAAGATCTTTTTGCTTTTTCTGCCCTATTCTGGGGTCTAACAAACTGTGAAGGCTGCCAAGGCTCCATCTGATTGGATGGGACAGGCAGCCCTTGCCTCTCTTCCATGGTTTTCTGATGCCTCTCTGGGGCTTTACCGAGGAAATAACACTCAGAGTTTTTTTTTTTTTTTTTTCTCTGTAGAGTTTTCAAATCCTCCTGGGGTTTTTGACATCACCTGGGGCTCACCAGCGTTGGGGTTCAGTGTTCCTCCCTCTGGGACCATCTACACCTTCATAATTTCCTTCCCATTGTGATCTGCCACCCCACATCTTAGAGAATCTTGGTCTGGTGATAAGTTGGGTGAATGATGCGTGATTTGCATATAGTAAAATGCACAGAGCATAAAGGTACGAGCAGTGTTTTTGACAATTGCCCATGTAACTGTCAAGTCAACCAAAATTTATGAATTTTCCACCCCCCTAGAAAATCCTTTCATACCCCTTTTCTAGTTAATCTCTCACTGCCACACTCCCACCTGCAATCACTGGTCTGATTTTCCTTACCATAAATTACTTTACCTACAGAGGACTTGTTTTTAAATCACATTTTCTTTCTAATGTTTTGTCTTTGAGGTAAACCCTTTCTTTTCTTCCAAAGCCCTGGGATTTTGAACTATCAAAGTCAGGAAATTTATTTTTCTTTCTCTTTTTACTCTTTTCCTGAAGCAATGAACTCTTTTGTTGCCTGGATGCAGATTAAGGCTGCAGGGTGGGGCAAAAGTCCCAGGGAAACTGAGAAGACAACAGTTACTGTTGTTAAAAATGCTACTTAAGTATTATAATGCTAAATATTAAGATGTCGTAGTACTTACTGTGTACCAGACACTATTCTAAGCACCGTAAGTGGATTAACCCATTTAATCCTCACAAAAAACCCTATGAGGAGGTAGCTAATGTTATCCCATTGTACAGATGGGGAAATTGAGGCACAGCTTGGTTCTCAGATTGCATGAGAAAAAGCAGCATGATTATTCCCATCACATATGCTTCAGTGAGAGGAAGGTGTTGATCCTGCTATGGGGAAGTGGTGGTATTCTAACTTTTTTTTTGCAGTTTTTGGCTGGGGCTGGGTATGAACCTACCACTTCCAGCATATGGGGCCAGTGCCCTACTCCTTGAGCCACAGGTGCTGCCTGGGTGGTATTCTCAAGTTCCAAATGTGTGGGACACTGTAGAGGTCAGGCCCTCACCCTGAGGGTCATGTAGAGGAACTGATGGGTGAATGAAATTTGTATTTACAGAATTTTGTGGCCAAGGCTCACCGCTCCCCACGGGTCTACTGGCTGGGACTGCATGACAAGCACAAAGAAGGGGACTGGAGGTGGCTGGATGGGTCACCTGTTACATTAAGGCAAGTGCCCAGAGTTCCTGGGGTCTCTGCTTCCTCTATGGGCCTGACCATTGGGAGAAGAGAAGGCAAGGAAGTGGGTGGTTGAAGTCAGGAGCTGCTTTGTACTAGTATGGCTGTATCAGATTTTTTTTTTTTTTGAGACAGAATCTCAAGCTGTCACCCTGCGTAGAGTACTGTGGCATCACAGCTCACAGCAAATTCCAACTCTTGGGCTTAAGCGATTCTCTTACCTCAGCCTCTCAAGTAGCTGGGACTACAGGTGACTACCACAATGCCCAGCTATTTTTTGGTTGCAGTTATCATTATTGTTTGGCAGGCCTGGGCTGGATTTGAACTCACCAGCTCTGGTGTATGTGGCTGGCACCCTAGCTGCTTGAGCTACAGGTGCCAAGCCTTTTTTTTTTTTTTTTTTAACTAAAAGATAGAGATGAGGGTCTTGCTATGTTGCCCAGCCTGGTCTTGAACTCCAGGCTTCAAGTGATCCTCCTGCCTCAGCCTCATGATTTTAAATACGGAAAAATACCTTTTCTGGTTGGCATATTGTCATTGCCCTTACACCCCTGAGGATCTTCCTGTTACTCTTTGGACTTTTGCATCAACTAATAACTAAAAGATTTGTGCCTAGAAGAGAAGGCCCTACGGATCCTGATTGGGATGCACTTGCAGCACTGGTCATTATGTTGGTGTACTACCCCTGGGTATCCCTCTTCCCTGTGTGCTTGTTGCCTTTGCAGTCCAAGCTGACAGGTTCCCTAGAATCTGTCAAGACAGGAGTGGAAAAAGGGGCTTTTTTTGGTGATGAGCCTTCTGGTTTGTGTACCTGTAATTTTCCCTCCACTGGAATATCTTAGCCTTCTAGTATAACTGCTCAGATACTTCAAACTTTCCAAGGCCAATGGTTGGGAGAAGAAAAAAATAAAGGAGGTTTCAGGGTGAGGGAGATTTTGCAATTTTCTAAAATTATGAGCAGGATTTGACTTTTTTTTTGAGATGAAGTCTTGCTCTGTTGCCCAGGCTGGAGTACAGTGGTGCAATCATAGTTTACTACAGCTCAGACTGCTGGGCTTGAGTGATCCTCTTGCCTCAGCCTCCCAAGAAGCTGGGACTACAGGCATGCACCACCACATTTGACTCTCTTTCAATTTTTGTACAGACAGGGCAGTGCCTGTAGCTCAAGGAGGAGGGTGCCGGCCCCCTATACTGGAAGTGGGGGGTTCAAACCCGGCCCGGCCAAAACTGCAAACAAAAAATTCTTTTTTTTTTTGTATAGACAGAGTCTTGCTATGTTGCCCTGGTTAATCTAAAACTCCTGGTCTCAAATGATAGTCTCACCGATGCCTCCCAAAATGCTGGGATTACAGATATGAGCCACCATGCCCAGCCTCATATATATATATTTTTAAATTAATAGACATTATTTTTTAGAACAATTTTAGGTTTATAGAAACATCGAGTAGATAGTACAGAGGTTTTTTATATACCCCATCTCTCCTGCACATAACCATCTTGTATTGGTGTGGTGCATTTGTTACAGTTGATGAGTGCCGATGCATTATTATTATTAACTAAAGTCCATAGTTTACACTAGGGTTTCCTCTTTGTGCCACGCAATTCTATGAGTATACATATATAATCTATACATATTTTTTTGATATGGGGTCTTGCTATGTTGTCTAGCCTGGTCTGAATCTCCTGGACTCAAGTGATCCTCCTGTTTCCTGAATAGCTGTGACTATGGGTGCGAACCTTGGCACCTGGCTCATTCTATGAGTTTCAACAAACGCATAATTCCACGCATTTGAGATTACAGTATTGCACAGAAAAATTTTACCACCCTAAAAATCCCTTCCTCCATGCCTGCTTTTCCCTCCATATAGCTTCTGGGACCCAGAGGAACCCAACAACATGAATGAAGAGGACTGTGCCAGCATGAATAAAGGTGGCAGCTGGAATGATCTCTCTTGTGACAAAACTACATATTGGATTTGTGAGAGGAAATGTTCCTGTTGAATCTTAAAGATGAGAATCTTCTGCTCTTTCATAAAAAGTCTTGCCTCTTCATGGACTGACATGGGATGTGCCCTAAACATGTCATGATCAGCACCCTGGGTGTAGTAAGGTCCCAGAGACACATGTCAAGTCATTACCAAGGTGAAGACCTGGATTCACCCAAATAGATGGTGAGCTGGAAGGATGTCCAGGGCTTGGTCTCCTCATTCTGGGGTCTAAAGGACATTCACCATGTTTCTGATCATGGTTCTTGGGAAATGATGCTGGCTCTGGGGGCTCTGGGTCTGACATTGAAACAGATGAAATATTCAGACTCTGCAGAACCAGAATGAACTGAGACTGGGCTCCCTTATTGACTATATGATATGGACCAACTTCTGGGAAGTGGATAAGGCAACAGTGTTTTTGATAAGCAATTTTCCTGATGTCTTAGATGAGGTTTTCCCAAGCCAGGTGCCAATACCTGGCCCATGGAACTTCTAGAAAGGTATAACAGCTAAATAGCAAGACCTCAACACAGGTCAGATGCACAGGGCAGTGATGGAGATATCTGCCTATGTGTACCTGGACTGACTGTGTGTTGTGAAGATCTTTGATGACATAATTCAGTTTATTTCTGTGTGGACTTTCTTGGGGTATTAGCTCTTGGCAATGTTAGTGCTTCTCAAAATGCCCCTTTGTTAGGTGGTCCTTGACCACTATGTATTAACTTGCTAGGGTTGCCACAACAAAGTACTGGGTGGCTTAAATGACACAAATTTATTTTTTTCTCAGTTCTGGAGGCTGGATGTCTAAGATCAGGATGTGGATGAAGTTGGTTTCTTTGAGGCTCCTTTCCTCAGCTTGTAGATGATCATCTCTCTGTATCTTCACATGGTTGTTCCTCTCTGTGTGTCCTAATGTCCTTTTCTCGCTCTTTATTCGATTTTTAATTTCAGAGGTAGGGTCTACCTCTGTTTCCTAGGCTGGGGTGTAATGGCACAGTCATAGCTCACTGCAGTCTTGAATGCCTGGGCTCAGGCAATTTGCCTGCCTCAGCTTCCAAAGTAGCTGGGACTCAGGTGTGCACCACCATACTTGGCTAATACTTTCATTTTTTGTAGAGATGGGGTCTCACTTTTTTCCCAGGCTGGTCTCGAACTCTGGGCCTCAATCTTTCCACTTTGACCTCCCAAAGTGCTAGGATTACAGGTGTGAATCACCACCCTCGACCCTCAATTACCTCTTAAAAGACTCTATCTCCAAATGCAGCTGCATTCTGAGGTGCTGGGATTTAGGATTTGAACATATATGTTTTGAAGGAACACAATTCAGCCCTTGACTCTCACAGAAATTCCAGAAGCAGCCCCCTGAGCCTCATGAAAACCAGAAATCACCACTTAGAGGACTGGTACTACTCCCAGCTAAGCACAACTTGATGTGGCAATCCCTTTGTACAATCCCTGAATTGTATCCAAGAATGGGTAGGTAGACATTTTCCATGCTGATAAATTTATTTATTAGCAAGTGCCTTTGACTAATTGCAGAGTCTTTCCTATTTTGACCCAGAGTAGGTGATTATAGGGGGTGTGTGTGGGGCGCTGAGGAGAGGGGTGTGGTGGGGGAGGTTGGGGTTCACTTCACTTCCTGTTTCCTCTGTTTTCATCTCCTCCCACCTCTACACCTGCTCAGGACTCATCACTGCCAAAGCCTGCCCCTCCTACTGTCCTCATTCTGCAGAGTGGGTGGGTATTATATTCTAAGCTCTCTACCCAGGGGACTAGGGTCAGGGGAAGTTTTCACATCTCAGAAGAAGGAACTTCAATTTCCTCCAATACAAATGTTGAGAAATAGGGAAGCAGCGGTCTGTGGTCACATCTCTGAGTCACGCTCAGAGGGCCTGACCCCAACCTATCTCTTTTCCACGTATTTCATAGTTGTCTAATTGCAACATGAAAGAGGTTCCCTCTTAGCACTTTGGGTCTAGTAGGGCAAAGACTGGATGCTCTTGATGAATAATAATAATAATAACCATGGTTTAGCAACCACTTATTGTGTGCTAGATTTATGCAGTTGTTCTCATTTAATCTTTGCCATGACTTTGTGAGGATGGAATAATTACCAGCGCTATTTTATAGCTGGGAAAACTGAGGTCTAGAAGAATTTTGTGGCTTTTCTGATGTCATTTAAATTAAATTAAATATCACACCTGAGATTTGGGTTCTGTCTATACCTCCAAAGGCTGGTCTCTTTCAGTAGCACCTGGTATCTTCTGAGGGATTGTCTGTAACCTTGAATTCTTGTGTAGACACACTGACTTTGTGGCACGGTGTGGTTGGAACAGACATCCTGAGCTGAGAAGAGAGACCAGAGGTTGAATGGTGGGTCTGTTGCTAATAACCTTTGTGACTCTCCTGGGGTAATCACCACAATGCAGGTGAGCATTGATAGTGGCCAGGGAGCTAACTGTGAAGGCTACAAGGATTCTGGATACATTTTGAAGCTATAGCTAATAGGATTTTCTGAATGATTAGACATGGGATGTGAGAGAAAGAAAAGAGGAAAGACTAACTCCAAGGTTTTCAGGCTAAGTCACAGAAAAGATGGAGTTACCATTAATAGAGACAGGGAAGAAAAAACGCTGATGGGAACCACCCATTCAAATTTGGGTCATGAACTTTTGCTAAAGTTCTTAGAACTTCTCAAGTAAGAGGAAAGTCAAGGATGGAATCTTGCCTATATTCTCAACCCTTACATTTTCAGTTACTCTTAAACAGCCAGCAGCTGCCACAGGAGCCCACTTGATCCTCCATATGGCAGGAGGGAAGTTTCAGGGGAAGAACATTTTTTGCACAACCTTCAACCAAAGTCTAGACCTGGTATATACAAAGGGTGCCAAAACAAAACAAAACAAAACAAAACAAAAACCACACACATTTTAAGAAAAGAAAAACTGTATTAAAATTGCAATACTCAGTATATACCTATAACAAAAGATGAACACAAGTACAAGTCACATCACCTCTTATAATTGCAGAAGTCAAACATGACTTGAGTATTACAGTTTTTTCTCCTAAAATGTGTATACATTTTTGGGCACCCTCTTTATGTAGTCCAGCTGTCTCATCCCTCCGGAGAGATGACTCTGAGATGCATGTTATACGTGGGGGTTCCTGTTGGGAGGAAATTCTAATTGCCTACAGCAATAGCCCGCTCAGTAACATATGTTTTAATTTTTAAAAAAGATTTATTTTTTATTTTTAGAGTTGACGTCTTGTTCCATTGCTCAGACTGGAGTGCACTGGCATGATCATAGCTCACTGTGGCCTTGAACTCCTGGGCCCCAGCCTCCAGAATAGCTTGGATTTCAATAGCACATTTTAAAACACATTCTACACTGGTTGCCTTTCTTTCTTTGTTTGCCTCACTTTGTCACAACCCACTTTAGTGTTTTCTAGGATCACCTCTGAAATGAACTAATTGCACTCAAATCCTTATCTCAAGAGCTTGCTTTTGGGAGAACCTGAGTGAAGATACAATGGGACAGGAGAAGGTTGTGGAAGTGGTTCTGTTTGCCTGAGACTGAGGGGCTCCTGGGATGCAGGACTTTCAGTGCAAAAGCTGAGAAAGTCCTGGGCAAACTAGACTGATCTGGTCATCCTTACAGGGGGATAGTGTGGTATCAGGGAATCTAGGAGAAGAGAATGCCAAAGAAGAAAAGAGGATTAACAGAGTCATATGCAACCCCGAGGCCAAGCTAGGCAAGACGGAGAAATATCCAGTGGACTGTGCCATGAGGAAGCATGTGGGACTTCAAGTTGTTCTTTGGTATATTGGAGGGAGAAGCCAGACTTTCAGACTTTAGTGGATGAGCAGTGAGAGGGTGACAGTATTACTAGTTATTGTTAACTTGAACGGTCATTTTATGAAAGACATTACTGGACAGGTCTTTTTTTTTTTTTTTTTTTTGAGACAGAGCCTCAAGCTATCCCCCTGGGTAGAGTGCTGTGGCATCACAGCTCACAGCAACCTCCAACTCCTGGGCTCAAGCGAGTCTCTTGCCTCTGCCTCCCAAGTAGCTGGGACCACAGGCACCCGCCACAATGCCTGGCTATTTTTTGGTTGCAGCCGTTATTGTTGTTTGGCGGGCCCAGGCTGGATTTGAACCCGCCACCTTAGGTGTATGTGGCTGGCGCCTTAGCCACTTGAGCCACAGGCGCCGAGCCTACTGGACAGGTCTTAACAAGACCAAATAAGTAAATGTGTTGACGTTTGAGGATTATTTACTTTCAAAGCTTATTGTTGTAAATAAATTAAAAAATTGCAATTTATGCTATTAGTCAAAGACTGAGGGCACTCTGTGCAACCAGCAAAATATTAATAACTATAAATTTAAATATGTAAAATAAAAATATATTAGACATATAACTGCTTTAAAATAAAAAAGAATTATATAACTTTGTAACCTGTGAAAAGAAATCTGTTTAAGTTACTCTATAGTAAGTAATAACATGGGTAATATTTACTTTTACTGTAAGAATAAAAAGTAACAAATGGAAACTAGAGGGCAGAACAGCTCTTCTGGGGAGATATCCTCGATGTTCTCCGGAATCACTGGTTTTTCTGTAAACAAAAGTGAAAAAATTTTTTTTTTTTTGAGACAGAATCTCACTATGTCACCCTCAGTAGAGTGCCAGAGTGTTACAGCTCACAGCAACCTCAAACTCTTAGGTTTAAGTGATTCTCTTGCCTCAGCCTCCCAAGTAGGGAGGCGCCCACCACAATACCTGGCTATTTTTAGTGACAGGGTCTTGCTGTGGCTCAGGCTGGTCTTGAACCTGTGAACTCAGGCAATCTACCCACCTCGGCCTCCCAGAGTGCTAGGATTATAGGTGTGAACCACCGCGCCTGGCCTTGCAACATATTTCGGCAAAGGGACCATTGGCTGGGCAGATTGATGAGCATAGACTCACCCAGGGCCCTGCTGATCCACCTAGACAGGTGTGGGGGGAATGTGCCTCTCTGCTGCTCCTTGCTGGAATACTTTCTTCCAGAGATGGCTAACATGATGTCCTCCTGCTTTTGCCATCACCTCACATTTATAAGGAGATCCTTTTCACTTTTATTCAAGTGTGTACGGAGGTTAGAGCCCTCATCTAGTTATGCACAGGGGTTAGAGCCCCTGTTTAGTTGCCTGCTGTATTTTCCACAGTGCCCAACCTTAGGGGCTCAGTTATCAGTTCCAGAAAATAGTCCTTATCTAATTAGTCATTTTATAAGTACCCACCTATGACTAAAAAAAAAAAAAAAGATAAAGATTTACTATAACATGGCCTAGCCTTTATACAATCTTAAAAATGAATCCTTAAATTACTATACTGTTCAACAATGAAAACTTTTTTGTTAAAGATCAGAAAACTGAAACAAGATCCCCCTACGTTCAAACTTTTATTTCTGTTTATGTACACATGTAGTATCTGCCTGTTTCTATATCTAATATTTGTCTCTACTTATATGTGTATACATCTGGAAAAAAGCCCATCAGAATAAATCCTGCTTGATTAGACCACTTATAAATATTACTCTCTGCCTAAAAAAATTTAACATTCTGCAGTCACACTGTTTAGACTATATGTATTTTAGACTCTAAAACAAGATAGCCTTTAAGTGGTTCCTTAAATTGTTGTACTATTTTACAGCTTAAATTATTTTGTCAACAGTTAATAAAATAAAATTCCATATGTACAGGTTTTTATATCTTTACATAATACAGATACAAAAAAATCTTCTAATAGTTCAAAAAACAAACAAAAAAATCAGCCACTAGGTTCTTCCAAAGGAAGATGTGGTTCTTGTTT